TGAAGTGTGGTTTAGAGTCCATGAGTATTTCTTTAGAATTTGCTGGTGTGTCACATGAAGCTTTTGACATTTCCATAGCAGAGAAGGAGGGTGTTGGGTCCCACGTGAGGCCTGAATATACACAAAGAGTCTTCCGGACTGAAGTATTGGTACTTTCTGTGAGAGCAACATGGAGTCTTTTCCTTATAGGTCTTTCCTATGAAATCTTGAGAAAGAAGGAAATGGAACTTTTTTCTTAAATGTTACAGCTTGTGTTGAAATGTCTCCCCAAAACCTCACGCAGTCATGGGGGGCTTTTCAGAGGTGGCTGGATCTAGCTGGGAGGAAGGGTGTGTGATTACTAACTCAGTCCGCTGCTTGGTTTGGGATAGTTCCGGCTAGGATTAAGGGTGTGGGTGCTACACCCCTCCAGGGCAGCAGCCTGCATACAGTATAAGGGAAAGAAAGAGGGCCAGTGTGCTCTCACCTGCCGGCCTGTCTTGGAGTAGTTCCCCTCTGCGATGCCCCTCTGCCGTGCCCGCCTCCTTTAGAGCCAGCCGACTATGAACTGAAAATCTGCAAACTGTGAGGCAAATAAAACTGTCCTCCTTTAACTTTGGGTGTTGGGTATTTTGTCCCAGCGATGACGAAAGTAAGGCATTGAGTTTGAGGGCGTTTTATGAAATGGCAGCATGATTTTGTGGCCTACTGTCTGTTACTCAGTTATCCTTGAGCACTGAGAGTCTGAATCAGACTTACTGCACTGGATTCCCAGGAGGAGTCTTGTCCCGAGCAAGGGTTTTCCTTTATTTTTTCTTGAATTCTGCTTACTATCACTCTGGCGCCGGTACTGTGACACCTGTGTGTGACACGTGACTCCCTCAGACTCCGTGGGTTCCTGCGGGGGACAGACCCCAGCCAGGCAGCGTGGCCGGCTCTGGATCGGCCTCAGAACTTGCAGGGTTAAGAGTTTCACTTGTACATTTTTTAAACCGTTTTCTTGAAACGTAATTCATGTGCCGTGCAGTGCACCCATTTAAAATGTGCAGTTAACTCACTGGCTTTTCACACAGGTTTCTGCAACTGTGACCACAGTCAGTTCTAGAACGTTTTCATCACTCCAAAAGGAAACGAATCCTGAAGCCATCGTTCCCTGCCAGACTCCAGCACTTCCGCATTGCTTGCTGGAGGAGGCAGTTCTTCTGCTTGGCATGGCCTGCCCATGTCTTCAGGACCCACCCCAGCCACACCCCCCATTCTGTAGCCCTGTGAGAATACTTGGGAATTGGGGATGTTTAAAACGGGATGTTGTGCATAAAAGCTGTGAGGCTGTGGGCTCCCAGCAGTTTCTAGAAAAGACGTAACCAGCAATAGTGAAATAAGGAAGGTGGGCCAGAGAGAGAGAGGGCTCCCTGGGCCATGGAGCTTCGGGGCCTCCTCCATGACACAGCCTTCCTGAGTACCTTGCACGGGGCTGGGCATGCGGAGATGTGCAGTAAGCACTTGATGAAGCACTGCCATGGGCTTTTCCACCACGATGGGGAGATTGTAGCTCTCAGAGGTATTTTACTGCCTGGCAATGTATGATTGGAGCCAGAATCATCTATGCATTCATGCAACAGGCGTGTGCTATTAATATCTACTAGTGTGAGGCATTAGAGACCCCGGTGGTGCAAGCATGGATCGATTTTGTTTTCCTGTAATGTTCACCTATAAATGCATACCTAAATCTTGAAATAACAGTACAGCAAAATTACCTTTTAAGGTGCCAGCCTTGGGAACATTGAGGCAGGAAAGCCTGAAACGTTCTTGTTCCCAAGTCAGAGAACGTACAGAACCATACACATCCACAGCATATTTCCAACTCCAGTACCTGGCTGAGATATGTTTGTTTATGACCAATTGTTAGATATTTGTGGGCATCTTTAGTCACCAGGTGATTATAAAATGCAGTCATCGGGAAAGTACACATTTGCTCATTCGCTTTCACTGATGGAAATACTCCTCATTTTGGGCTGGGAACACATCCCTGTTTTCGATCACTAGGGTACCACTTGACAAGGTCTTAATGTATCTCTAAAAGTGAGCTCTGCTTTCTATTTTAGGATTAAGAACAGGGAAATATGAATCAAAAAGCACTCATTTCTTAAACGTTTCTCTCACTATTGAACATACATTTCATATTTGGATTTTAAAGAGGAATGAATTAAGCATTTTAAATTACAAGTTTATAATTTTTTTCTTTTTTCTGTTTTTGGTACTGGGGATTGGACCCAGAGCCTTCACACTGATTTATATCCCCAAAGCATTTTTTATTTTTTTATTTTTATTTTTTTTGAGACAGGGTCTCACTATGTAGTCCAGGCTGGCCTTGAACTCGTAACAATCCTCCTACCTCAGCCTCCTGAGTGCTGGGATTATAGGCATGCGCTATCATGCCCAGCTCAGTTTTTTATTTTTTGAAACAGGGTCTTACTAAATTGATAGTTGCTTGAGTTTGCAGTCTTATTCCCTCATCCAGACTAAGTTCTGTGCTTACAGGCGTGCATCACCACACCCTGCTCAAGGTTCTTACTTTAGCCCAGGGATTAAAGTTCCTCAGCCTTCAGAGGTGAGAGGCCTGTTTTATTCTCACGCCTGTGGCTCTCCGCAGAGGTGGAGTGGGTCTTGCTACCAGCATTTTGTTGTGAGTGCAGAATGCGCGAGTAAGTAGAGGGTGTTTACATGAGCCCTGAAGAACGTGGACTGCCTCCTAACTGGCCTCGTCTCGGAGGAACCCACATATCCCAATGGCTAAAGCAGCTCACCCACGCCCCCCAGGCCCTGCGCCGGGGAGGTGTCCTGCACGGTGCTCTCCATGCCCACTGTGAGGAGGCTGGGGAAACCAGTGAGCGCTGGCTGTGTGACGCACATCTTCAGGAACAGACACTCCAGTGGGGAATCGGCGCGCTGGAGGGCAGGGTGCCCAGAAGGCAGCAGGAGTACTGTGTCAGGGGCCCCGAGTGGAAGCGGAGAACAGCAAGCTTTCTCCAAGGAGGTGATGCTTGGCCTGAGTCTTGAGTGACTCGCAGTTAGTCAGGAAGTGAAATGAGAAGTGCCCTGGCAACAGAACTAGCAGGATTACACAAGGGCGATGGTCTGGGTTCTTGCCGTTAGTGTGGACATCTGTCCACTACTTAGGAAAAAGTCTTAGTTAATAAGACTAAAGGTGTGCCTACCCTTTGTCCTAGCATTTCTATCTTTGGACTTACCAGCTTGAATGCAGAAAGATGTAAGTGCCTGAATATTTTTTCACAGCAGCCTTGTTAACATAGGAAGGGGTCAGTAAAATGAGGTGTATCTTGAATGCTACACAGCTGATGAGGAGAAATGAGGTAACTTAATACATCTTAACAAAGTTAGAATCCCACGATACATTAAGTGGAAGGAGGGGAAAATGCACGTTTCAGAATATCATGGTTGCTGGGGATTTCGCTCAGTGGCACAGCGCCTGCCTGGCAAGCACAAGGTCATGAGTTCAGTTCCTGGTACCGGAAAAAAAAAAAAAAACAAAAAAGACCAAAACAAACAAACAAAAAACTGTGAGCCAAAATGTCATGTTTGGGCCGGGGATGTAGCTCAGTGGAACAGCGCCTGCCTGGCAAGTGCGAGGTTCTGAGTTCGATTCCCGGTATCAAAATTAAAAAATAACGTTTAAGATTCAGTTTTTGTTCAGAAATTATGTATAGCAAGGAGCTGGGGGTGTAGCTAGTGTAGAGTACTGGCTGAGCATGTTTGACCTCTAGCACTGTATAAATGAGCAGAACAGAAAACCAGGGAAAAAAATTCATGGTGAAAATGAGAATATGCTTAGAGAAGAAAGATAATTTTGGAAGCATATAAGCCAGAAAAACTAGTGATTCTTTTTAAGGGACAATATAAGGCTGGTAATATATATTAATGACATTCAAGTCTTGTGTGATAAATGTATATATAATAGGTAAAAATTAAGAAAGAAAATAAGTAGGTTCAGATAGAGCTGAATGATTTATTACAATAGATCATAACCAGTTGTTTCCTTAACTTCCTTATATGTGGCCATAATATAGTAATTTCTGACCCTTGGGGCCAGATATAGCTCAGCAGCACAAGTGCCTGCCTGGCAAGTACAAGGTCCTGAGTTTGGTTTCTGGTACCAAAAAGTAATTTCTGACACTAAATTTTAATTTACCTTCTGGGAATTCTGTGGTAGAGTGAACATAAATAAATGGAAAATTTAAATCTCCTGTGTCTTTCCTGTTTTCCTTTCAGAAGATAATAACCATGGAAGGACAAGGGTCCCAAAGTGAACGTTTTACCAGTTAGTGTTTTTGTTACTTAGGGATTTTTATTGTTTGTCTTCCTAGTAAAAGCCTTTATCAGGAGAAATTTCCTTGTCTGCAAAAAAGCAGGTTTTTTTTTTTTTGGTTTCCGTTGCTTCAGGATTACTGATTTGGGGTTACTAGTTTAGGGACAGTGCTTCCCCCCGCCCCCGGGTACTGGAAATCGAACTCAAGACCTCACGCTTGCCAGGCAGGCGCTGTGCCACTGAGCTAAATCCCCAGCCCCAGGGACAGTGCTCTTGCCTGGCCTGTGGGAGACCTTGGATTTGATCACCAGCACTTAAAAAAAAATTAGTTGTTCGTTGTCCCCAAGAGGTGCTTAAAGTGGAACTTTGTGCATGTATCCCTCCCTTAAAAGACAGAGTAAAAAGTGGATTAGTAAAGCAGGAATCTGTGAAAGCTCTTTGATTTCATTTAGAAAATGTGGTTTGTAGCTACAGTTTTCCTACTTCCATGACGGCGAGCGCCTGCATTGTGACTGAACAGGGAACCGTATTTTCCTGCCTTGACTCCTTAGTCTACTTTGAATTCCCCACTTATATCTGAATAGTGATTTTCTACTGTGGATAGCATTTGTATCGCATGATTAGTTTTATGCAACTCGATTTCACATAATGACTTTTCTCTGTGATTTGTTTACCCTCCTTGCGTTTCTTACAGAAGTCCTGGAGGGGATTTGGGAGCCAAAAAGAAAAAGAAGAAACAGAAGAGAAAAAAGGAGAAGCCAAATTCTGGAGGCACAAAGTCTGACTCTGCATCTGATTCCCAAGAGATTAAAATTCATCAGCCTTCAAAAGTAAGAGCCCCATTTTATTGTCACCTCCGTGGTTCCTCCCAAAGAAAAGAGTGGGTGCGAGCTACCAGCTGTGCGGTTAGCCTTCTGTCGTGACTGTGCGGCGGCTCTAGTAACAGCCTGCCTTGGCAGCCACGGACTTCGAGGTGCATACCAGCCTTTCGTGTGTGTGTGGCTCCTTCCTGTGTTTCTCCTGGCTTGGTGCTTTAGTGTTTAGATTATAACTATGAAAGAAAGTCTCCCAGTGAGCTTGTTTGTTTTTTTTCTTTTTGAAGTTACACTTAATATTTGATGACTTGTATGTAGTTCAGAAGATATTTACACATTTTAATTTTTCTGGGTGTCTGTCTAATTACCTGCGTAGCACAACACCATCTGGCAGCAGATTGCAGCAGGAGCAGCCACGGGTGAGTCTCACGTTGACTGTGAATCAGAACAGTCTTCAGTGACCATTCCTCATTCTGTCACCAAGGGAGGGGACATCTCACCCCCTGAAGAAATGCCTGTTTTAGATTACACCAGACTGTCCAGCTGAGCCCGTGTCAGCTTGTTGCAGCATATAACTGTGTGGCAGTGCTGATGGCAGCCACCCCGTCTGTGGGGCCGATGGATCCTTGTCACACAGGCGGAGGACACTGCTTTTGTGTACTGGCCCCTGGGAAGCACAACCCAGAACAAAAAGAAAGGGGCAGAATTAGGACAATGGAGTAAAGGTGATTTTTAAATTTTTTTTATTTTTTGTAGCCCTTGAGATTGATCCTAGGGCCTTCCACATGATAGTGATTGTAGATCCAAATTAGTTTTCCTAGGCTGTGTCTGATGGTATAGAAATGGCTGAGACCTTGGGCTTGGCCCTGGTTCCCTTACTATATGCCTTTGCCTGAGGTGGCTCCTTAAACCCATCTGTAAAGTCTGCTTCTCCCCAGCTCATGGGCCATCGTGAAGTTAGAGAGAAGTCCTGTTGAGGAGTTTTGTATTATAAAGCACTGTCTATGTGGTACATACTACCGTTGCAAGTTTGGTGGGCTTACATTTTTTTCTTGCGTGAGCTTACGTTAGATCACGTGGACTGCATCTTGGGCATGGTTCTTTGGCAGTTACCTGTTTTACTTGAAAAGACGGAGCTTTACTGAGAAGGGAAATTACTTGCCCCAGTTTTGCCCTGACTGAATTTGCAGGAAGACAAGGTAGAATTTTCCTCCCTCGCTTTGCAGCGTAGTTCTCAGGTGACCCGTGCTTTGCCCACTAAACATAACCTCCACGGACCCGGAGGAAGACACCACCACGGCCCGCAAAGCACTCTGCCCATTCTCGGTGTTGCTCTGTCAGATCACCATGGCGTCGCACACTTGCAGTGGTGGGCATCTTTCTCCTTCCTGCCTCTGCCACTGCCGTCAGCTCCTTCCCATCCTCCGCGCCTGGGGATGTGCAACCCGCCTTCATGCCAGTCACTGATGAGAAACCAGAGCCAGCCAAGGTGGGCATACTGCTGGCACTACCACACTGCTGTGTGGTAGAGAGGGGGCTTTTCGTTTTTAAACTAGGAACAAGTCAACAGTGTTTTAATGTGGACTTTTCTCTGTTGCATTTTCTGAAAACTGGGCCTTTCCCCTTAAACGCAGGCCGGCTAGCCCTACATAACTCCATAATTTACAGTGGACTGCACTTAGAGAATATTCTGGTCATTCTTCCCCCCATTCCCATCCCTGGTCCTAGGGGATGAATCCAGGGAGCACTGAGCAGTATCGCCAGCCCTTATTTATTTTAGGGAAGGTCTTGCCGAGTTGCCCAGGCTGGTCTTGAACTTGTGAGCCTCCTACCTCATCCTCTCCAGCAGCTGGAATTACAGGTATGCGTTTGCCACACTTGGCTGAATTTGTACAGACTTTGCTTTTCATTTTAATGGCACTCGGGATTGAACCTAGGCCTCAGGCATGCTAGACAGGTGCTGTGCCACAGAGCTATACCCCTAACTCCTGCTTATAGACTTTTTAGTGATAGAGGACTTGGACAGCTTTTCCAAGGCATTAAATTTGGAAAATAATGGGTGAAGTGCCAGGCATGGTGGCACATGCCTGTAATACCAGTATTCGGGAGGCTGAGGCAGGAGGATTACCACCAGTTCAAGGCCAATCTGCGTCACAGAGTGAGTTTAAGTCCAGCCTGAACTACATAGCAAGACCCTGTCTTACACACACACACACACACATGCACACATGCACACACACACAATGGGTGAAGAATGTAATCGATATTTAGTATTTAGTAAGGAGCAAACAAGAAGAGAGGAACACTGTACCTCCCCTTCCATAGGAATAGTAGGCAGTTAACTGACAAACATCTGACCTTTCTCCCCCACTGGAGCTACAGTAGAAGGTAAATGGATAGGTTTAAGAATTCGTCATAAGGCTGGGGTTGTAGCTGAGTTCTCCAGTACTTGCCTAGCATGTGCGAAGCTCTGAGTTCTGTTCCTAGCACCGCAAAAAGGTGGGGGTGTTAAAAAGAATTTATCACAGCTGAGTTTTCCTTAGTCCTTTATCACCATAAGTTTGAAACGTGTGCTTAGTTGAACCTACGTGCAGAAAGCATTTAAGTAATGAGCATTAGGACATGAGTGTTTACCAGTGGTCATTTCACATAGAGAGTGCTGGTAGCCTACGGACAGGAACTAGGTAGGATATGAACCCCTCTGGGGGCTTTCTCATGGAGTTGGAATATCACTGGCTTCTTTGGAACAAAGACACTGATTCCTGTTTCCTGCAAAACAGAGGTTAGAAGATTAAATCAACCCTCAGGAAAGAAAATTTACCATGACACATTCACTGAGGACCTTGTAGGCATTTTTATGAGCCTGGCCTTTCCTTTGCCTTTTTAAGCTAAACTTAAATTCTCTCTCTTTTTTTTTTTTTTTTTTTTTTGAGACCAGGTTTAACTATGCAGTTTGGGCTGGCCTTGAACTCACTTTGTAGCCTAGGCTGGGCTTGAGCTCACAGCAGTCCTCCTGCATCAGCCTCCCAAGTGCTGGGATTACAAGTGTGTGCTCTCGCGCCCAGCTTCAAATATTGTTAATTGCACTATGCTGTTATCTCAGTTCCCACTGAACTTAGTAGATCTCTTAATAGATTGTGTTGTTGGGAGAGCAAATGGATATGAAAATTTTATTTTCCTAGAACTCAGTCACTTACAATGTTGGAGGCTCAAAAGAGACTCCAGCAAGAGAAATAATCCAAAGGTCCAATACATTAGAACAGGAAGAGCATTTTGTGATACTGTCTCAATCAGTATGTAGGGTAAACAGCTCACAAAGCTCTGGCAGTCATGGTCCTGCTGTCAGACTTCTGGGTAGAGGCCTGAAGCTTTTAATTTGCCCCTGGTCAGACTTTCCGTGTTTGTTTCCTGAGTCACTCCAATGTCAAGAGCCCTAACAAAACCTGGGAATAAAGCAACCATTGCACAGTCTGTGTTCAGTAAATCCTGTTTTGTGTTACAGCCAATGGTTAAGCTTCCCAGGCTGAAATGATTTGCTCCAGGCCACAGATTTCAGATTGAAAGTCGAGCCCAGTTCCAGAGACCCTGTTTAGCAGCTGCTGAATGACAGCGTACCTTCCCTTGGTGTCTGTGGTGTGTTGACTTACAGCAAAACCAAAGCGCTCTGAAATTTTTTAACAACTTTCAAATTACAGTGAAGAATATTCTTTGAATGGCATCAAAAATTCTAAAACTTCAGTAGGGTGTGGGGGTGCACACCTGTTATGCCAGTACTCTGGGAAACTGAGGCAGGAGGCTTGCAAGTTCAAGTCCAGTCTAAGCAACCTAGCAAGACCCTGTCAAAATACAAAGCGGGTGGGAGTGGGGATATAGCTCAGTGTAAAAGGCCCTGAACTCAATCCCTATCACTAAAAAAATAAAAAAACCTCTAAAACTTCACATTTTGTGTATTGAAAAAAGTCACTGATTTCCATATTCGTTCCTATACACTGCTATCCTATGTTGAGAAATTAAGAAAACAGCTGGGGAAATCTTCAAGAGATGGTAGGAATATTGACTTTGGAAAGAAAACTTCAAAGTGTAAAGGCATTTTCTATTCTATAGACTGAGAATATGTTTTACCAGGGTGCCAAGGGTCAGGACCGACAGAGGAGCTACTTGCCACCTTCTCTTAGCGGCTCCATCCCCGAGCAGTAGGGTAGGGAAGGGCTGGGTGTGGTGTGTGAGGAAGAAAGGGGCCTGTTGAGAGGCCTCCTTTCTTAACCCTGTCCTCCCTGCCCAGCACTAAGTTCAGATTTCTTTTTCTTCCTTTTTCCTTCTTTTTCTTATGAACTAAAACTTCCCTGTCTACCTTGTTTGCCCCCATCACTACCAGGGCACGCACCCTAACGGTGCACCTGAGGCTGGTGGCTGCTGGCTGCTGTATGGTAGAAATGCGTGCCTTGCATGTCTCTCCTGGTGGCTTCTCCTCACAGAGCAGCACTGGTGGGTCATTGCAGATGGGTGGGACCTGAAGCAGAGTGTGTTTCAATTTACTGCAGATTTCCCAAGCGGCAGAGCCCTGTTCAAATACATAGCTGTTACCTGTAATAATATGTTTGCTTCTCTCCTCATCCATTACCATCCTGGAGCCATGGCCTTGAGCAAGCCTCGAGAAGGTTGGGCAGTGTTTAGGGATCTTAGGCTCCAGTCCACTTTGGTTTCAAGAGCAGCAGCCGCTCCCTCATGTCCTGTGTGTCTGTGTCTTCCCTCTTCCAGAATGCCACCATCCCCATGCAGAAGCTGCAGGATATCCAGAGAGCAGTGGAGCTGCTGTCGGCATGCCAGGGCCCGGCCAGGAACATTGATGAGGCAGCCAAACGCAGGTACCAGTTCTGGGACACACAGCCGGTACCCAAACTAAGTAAGTGCTGCTGTTTTTGTTCATTTCTAAAACGAGGATAGATTGACAATAATTAAAAAAAACCTAGGGAGACTTTACTTCACTTATTTGTGCCATATCATTGATTAAAAATGTACATAAAGCTCATATTTGTCTTCTTGAAATAAATAATGGCATTCAATTGCACTAACAATGATTTTAGTCTAATTGCTATTCCTATCGCAATATCCAATTTCCCTACACTTGAGTTGTGATACTGAATTACATACCATACATAATGCTGTACACACACACACACAGAGCACGGTTCTTCTCTCACCTTTCCTCTTTGCCTTTGAGCTTCATGGTGTTTGTCTTAGTTACTTTTTCATTGCTGGGGCAAAATGCTTGACACCCCCAAGTTAAAGGAGGAAAGATTTGTTTTACCTCACAATTTATAGAGGTTTCAGTCCATAGCTGGCTGGCTCCATGGCATAGCAATGGAGAAACAGTTCATGGCAGGGGAGGCAGGAGGCAGCAAGCAGCAGCCTCCCGATCCCTTTTATCCCATCTAGGCTATGCACTTATTGGTTGATAGCACTCCACCCACGGTGGACCTTCCATTATTCACACCCAGAATTATGCTAAACCAATTCAGTGCCCATGCAGCCTTAATCCCAGTGTCACACATGCTAGACTTGGCCACTTCCCAAAAGCCCCACCTATGAGCGCCTGAGGCTTTGGGATGACATCTAGATATAAGACATAACAGAGTTCTTAAATGTAAACTTTTATCATTTTTACTCCTTGGTTATTCCAAAAGATTCAGGAAATGTGATTGCTGATACTTACTGAAGTAAACAGTTTCGCACCACTTAATGAAAGGGTTCTGAACACTCACCATGGTATTGATAGCATCAGCTCAGTACTTTTTGACGTCTCAAGAGCAGGATCCGAAGGCTGCGTATGACATGCGACAAGGTACTTGTTCCTTGATACTGGGCCGCTCTACTGCACTCACTTAGACCCTCACCGGATCCGTTTCCAGGGATCTAATTTACACAGAAACAGATGATGGCTACTGTCATAAAAATGTTTAAAACGCATTACAACAGAAGTCTCCGCTTTGCCTTGTGTATGTGTTAAGATGCGATGCTACTATTTCTGCTTTTTTATTTCTTGATTGTGTGGGTTTTGGATTGGTATTATATAAAAGGTTAATTGCTGCCCAAAACTCTAAATAGTCCAGCTATGTACAAATAATCCACTCTGTCAAATATAAATTGAGCATTTATGTCTTCAGATATTAATTCTTGAACTCTTTAAAACCATGACTCCTTTCCCAGCGCCCCCACCCCAGTATTTTCAGAGCTTCTGACTGGGTGGAAAGGAGAAAGAAGGGCTGGCTGAAGCTCCGTGTTGGGCACTTCCCTAGCATGAGTGAAGTCCTAGATTCCATGCCCAGCAGTGCAAAGAGAGAAAGAAAAAAGCTGATCTTTGCTTGTCTTTTCTTTCAGGTTGTAGAAATATGTCTAATAATGAATGAAGATTCTTTAGCATGAAGTTACAGGATTCTGAGTAGCTCTGAATCAAATGACCATTAGCTAAGGGAATCTTTTTTTCTTTTTTTTTTCTTTTTTTGTCTTTTTGAGACAGGGTCTCACTATGCAGTTCAGGCTGGCCTTGAGCTCGCTTTGTAGCCGAGGCTGGTCTCAGATTCACAACGATCCTCCTACCTCAGCCTCCTGAGCGCTAGGCTTACAGGTGTGTGCCACCACGCCCAGCAGTATAGCTGAGGGAATCTAGATGTATTATATATGTGTGCTGCCGAAGCGAGCACGAATCTAGATGTATTGATCTAAATGTATCGGGTTTGGCCGAATGCTGTAAGCAAGCTGCTGGCCCATCTCACGGCAAAAGCACTTCCAGCCAGCACTGAGCCTCAGGGTTCCTCTTTGGGAAGAGTTCGTCTTACTTTGCCCCTCTCCTGAAGTCCTGGCTTGATTCTTCACTTGCTGGAATTCTTAGTGCACAGCGCTGTCCAGTCAGAGGCCCTAACGGAGGAAGCCAGGTTGATGGGGAAGGAGCGAGCCTGAGGTTGGGAGCAGCACTTGGAAATCGAGGAGTCTTTGCCTCCCCATTTCTGCCTGTCCAGAAGGTGCCCCAGTTCCGTCCGCGCACACCCAGCTCTTCGAAGCTGTCAGAACGAGACTTCCCCAGGGATATCAGTTGAGAGCCAAGCATTAAGCAGGGGTCACAAGGGACTGTGTATGGGAGAGGCTGAAATTTGGCCATTTGGGCTGACTGAAGTCAGTGAAGATGAGGTAGGTCAGTTCTTCATCATTGTGACCAAAATACAGTACTTGGTGTAAACAACTTACAGGAGGTGTGATGGTTTGTGTCTGGATGTCCCCCCAGCTCGGGATATAGCTCAGTGGCACAGTGCCTGCCTCGTGTCCCCCCAAAGTGTCATGCCGTTGTTGGGGGGTGGGTTTTTGGGAGGTGGCTGAATCTAGAGTTTGTGATTGATTCGTGGTCTAGTGCTGGGATGATGGGTGTGAGTGTTGTTTCTACCCGCGGGCAGGTAGCCCGCATACAGTATTTGGAGCCCTGAACTGAACCCTCTACAAACGGTGAGCTAAATAAAAGCTTTCCTCATTTAATTTTGGGTGCTGGGTGTCCTGTCTCAGCAATGAGAAGAGTAACTAAGGCTGGAGGAAAGGGTTATTCTGGCTCCTGGTTTTAGAGGATCAGTCCCTGGTGTTGGCTTCAAAGCAAAACAGCAGGGCATGGTGGGGAAATAAAGCTGCTCATGCCCACTCTCGGTGGCCAGCACGCAGACAGCAAGGGGGAGCTAGAGAAATAGATAGACCCTTCACAGCCCTCCCCAGTGGCCTACCTCCTCCATGCGGGCCTCGCCTTCTCACAGCACATTCAGCTGTGAGCTCATCGTGGGTTAACCCATGATGAGGTTAGGGTCTGTGATTAGTTCCCTTCTAAAATCCCCACCTCTGAACGCATGAGACTTTGAGGAAGACATTTTGGATCCAAACCATAGCACTAGAGTTCATTAAGTTAGGGAATTAGATCAGGGGTGTTGGAGCTGGTGTACACCCTGTGACATGTACTTGCAGGAAGCTTCAGTGGTGGGAAGAACTGGGCACTGAGATCCTTCACTCAGCAGATGTTTGCTCAGGAGACTGTCACTAAATACCCTGGAAACAGTGGTGGCATTAGGACAGGTGGTGGCCAGCCCAGCAGTGGAGGGAGGACATACCTTATTTAGGTAGGAAAAAGCTTTAGTCAGGGAAAGATGCTGCGAGAAAGTAAGAGCTTCCCAGGGGCCATCCATGTGATGACCAAGGACAGGGCTTCAGCAGAGGGAAGGCACAGTACGCCCCGCAGCTGCGGAGAGCCTGAGCGAGGTCAGTGCGGCCAGAGTATGGGGGGCAAGGGGCAGGGAGAGCACAAGAAGGGTGAGGCAGGCGGCAGCCCTGGGAAGAGCCAGGGTTTTTCTCAGCTGCGTGGAAAGTTCTGCAGAGGAAATCACTAGAGACGTGGACCACACTTGGCTTCAACTACATGTGTAGCAGTACAGATGGAGAGAAGTAGCCAGTCTTGAAATTAATTTTAAGTTTTGCTGCTGGGAGGGGTTGGAGGTTCCTGTCCCTGATTTGTGGAAATGCAATGTAAATTTTTTTCTTTCATGCTAAGGATTGAGCCCAGCGCCTCAGCCTGGACCAGACAAGGGCCCTGCCACCAAGGTTCATCCTCAGCCCAAGCTCTAAGGCTGATGTTCCAGAGCTGCATGCTCCCCGCGATGCGGCGCAATGGATCTGCAGCCTGGGGTTAAGGCTGAGAAATCCCTGTAATTTCACAGCATCATCGTTGTCAGTGGGTGACAGAGGAACCCCCTTCGATTTAACTGGTGAAACAGTCACTTCACACCGCTGCCTACCTTTCCTGTTTCAGCGCAGAGGAAGCTGGAAAAATAGCACATTTTAAAAGATTACATGAAACCCAAGTGCCCTGCATCTGATTGTGTCGGTGTCGCTGATCTTTTGGGAGTGTCAGGATACTCTGGAATTTAATACCTCTCCTTCTGTCTTTGTGTCTCTCACTGCAGATGAAGTCATAACTTCTCACGGTGCAATTGAGCCAGACAAAGACAGTGTACGTCAAGAACCATACTCTTTGCCACAGGGTTTTATGTGGGACACTTTAGACTTGAGTAATGCGGAGGTGGTGAGTAACCCTCTGTGATTCAGCACCTGCCTTCACAAGAATCGCTTTCGACGTGGTCCTGGGCATTACCAACAGGGTGCTTGTTTTATCTTACAGCTCAAGGAGTTGTACACGTTGTTAAACGAGAATTACGTGGAGGATGATGACAATATGTTCCGCTTCGACTACTCACCAGAGTTCCTTTTGTGGTATGTCTTGCTGGTCATGTAGGCTGTCGAGAGGGTCATCAGACTGGGAGGTCTTGGGTCTTCCCATGTAACATTTATTTATTTATTTTGGGGGGGGGTACCAGGAGTCGAACTCAGAACCTTGCGCTTGCCAGGCAGGCGCTGTACCACTGAGCTGTACCCTTAGCCCCTCTTTGTCTTTTAGACACTAACCGGTGCTTGTTTTTCTTGTCCTCCCTGACTTTAGGGCTCTGCGTCCCCCAGGCTGGCTCCTGCAGTGGCATTGTGGGGTCAGAGTGTCTTCAAATAAAAAACTAGTAGGATTCATAAGTGCCATCCCAGCCCACATTCGGATTTATGACAGGTGTGAGCTAAGGCTTGTCATGTCACGTCTGTGTATTTCTCTTCAAAGAATTGCATTAGAGTAGGCTGTCAGGAATTGCTCAGTGCCAGCTGTCAGTTCGGTGGGCAGAGGCCCTATCAGGACTCCGCTCAACTTTGCACTAAACCTAAAAACTCTAAAAATTAAATTTATTAGTTTTTAAAAAAGAAAAGGGACTACTACCTCTGTCCATTCCCCCATCTGTCCCTCTTTCTGCCCGCCCTTTCTCTTTCTCCTTTTCTGTCTTTCTGGCTCTCAGGTGCATACATGAACACAGGTGTGTATTATGTATTTATACACATATGTACATAGAACATGTGTATTGGGATAGCTATAAACAGGCATTTCTGGAAAAAAATTATTTAGAATTTTAGGAGGAATAAAGAGTTTATCTCCATACAATAAGTGTATTGCATTTTTGCTCTGGATTTCCAGCTCAGAAAGGCTAAGATCCAGCTATGAAGATCAAAGCTCTAATGTGTAATACGTATGTGTATCACCACACGTGTTAGGTTAGCTTATTTGCTGATAAAGGCATGCATCTTGGGGAATACTGTGTGTTAAACGAAAGGCCTGCATACGCGGAGGCAGAGCCGGACGTGGCTTTGAAGCTCTTTGAAGGTTTATTGTAGCTCAGTGAGGCACCACCTCTGCTCTAGTCACAGCCCCTGTCACGGGTCCTGATGATTTCCACCTTGCTTCAGAGCAACATTTGGTCAGATTCTACACCAGTTATCACCACAGTTATACCTGTTAAAGGGAAAACAGAAACTTTGAGGCACATTTGATCCAATTTCTAAATAAACTTAAAAAAAAATCAAAGTATTAAAATTTATTTAAAATAAAGAGGTTTAGCCCCCAGGCTTAGATATTCATTGTGGCAGGGGAGTAGTGGCAAATAGTGTTGCAGTCTGATTTTGTGAAATGTTTTCCTTAAATATTGTTCAAGGGTGTCTTCACCATTCTTATTCTTTGACATTTTAAGGGCAGTGTCTTATTTTTTTCAATGTGCTCATCTTGTACTGGCCCTAATTTTCAACATCTTTGTTTCTCAGTGTGAAGAGGATGGTAGAAATCAACTTTCTTTGTGTTCATAAGAAATTGAGATCCAAACGGGTAGCCCCAGTTTTAATCAGAGAAATAACCAGAAGAGTGAACCTGGAAGGAATCTTCCAGGCTGTGTACACTGCCGGAGTGGTGCTCCCTAAACCTGTGGCCACGTGCAGGTAAGGGTTGCCGCATCCCTGCGCTGAGTCTGCCTGTTGCCACGCGTGTCACGCGTCACTGCCTTCCTGTTAGAAACAGTATTCTTGGGTGTGTAGCAGGGTGGATTTCAGGAAACTGAGAATTATGTACTTTGTTGGTAGCAGAGATGGAGACCAGGACCTAGACCCGTACAGTCCAGAATTGGCCCCAGTACGTCCTGCAGCCACTTGGTGACTGAAAATAACATTTTTCTGCTAACGGTGCTGGATATATATTTCTGTTTTTATTCCATTTGAAAGACATGTGTTGTGTATGCCTGGAGAAATGTAGGCCAGTGTGAGCTTGAAATGTTCCGTGTCACACTTTTTCTTTCCATCTGTAAACTCAGTTTTCCACCGTGCTTTGCAGCACCACCGACCTTTTCCACAAATTCGATGAGCATCAGTTGAAAAGCCTCATATATGCCTATTTGCGGGGAGTAGGCTTAAGTTCTGGTTGTGTGCCTTCCTTGACTCTTAGCAGGTTTTTGAAGGCTCTTCCACTAGGAGAGTAGTCATACTATCCCTGGACTAAGCGCTTCTAAAACATCAGAAAGAGTTACCTCCCTTCACTATTTTTATTGCCTCAAAAGGATGAAACTTCAAATAAACATAGTATAAAAGGTAAAATAATAAAATTACTATAGTCTGTTAAATTATTACATTCATAAATAAAGAAAAATACACCACAGATATGTGTTAATATAAATCATTAGCCCATTGCACAAATTGGAATCGCTTAAGAAAGTCAAGCTAGTTTCTCAGAAAGTTGTTTTTCTTGGTGTGTACCCTACTAAACCGAAAATGACTTACTAGGGGAAATACTTTCGTGTTCATATATTTTGTTGGTTTGCTCATCACAGTTGTCATTAAATACTTGCCTACCTAAGCAGGATTAGTATTTCTCTTGAAGTTTTATGATTCCTCTTTAGGGACAGAGATAAAGGGTCACAAGCTGTAACAGCACATAAATAAGAATATAGGACATTTCAGAGAAGAACAGTTGACTGATAAAATTACTGATTAGGAAGAGGGTCCGCGTCCACCACTGTGCGGGGTGCAGCGTAAGTATCGAGTAAGTGCTTCTGAACAGCCGAGACGAGACAGAGTGAAGACATGCACAGGGAGAAATCAATCAGATTTTAAAACCTTTATTGTGTTCCAGGTACTGGCATCGATCCCTGAACCCCAGAAAACTGGTAGAAGTGAAGTTCTCCCACTTGAGTAGAAATATGACGTTACAGAGAACAATGAAGCTTTACAGACTGCCGGATGTAAGTAAGAAAGATCTGCAGTGTTTTGAAGCTGTAACAGCCAGATCTTGTAATGCAGAAAAGAATTTTTCACAGCAGTCTAAGCACAAACTCACGGATCTAAGGGAGGGAATATGTAGGAGAGAGACTGCAGAGAACTCAAGATGGAAGGAGGGGAGTTCATCTGCAAACACTGTTTTGCTTTCCTTTGGGTTTTTATTTGTTATTTGCTTTTTTAAGACAGGTTCCTTTTCTTTTTTCCAGTACCGGGAATCGAACTCAAGACCTCGCGCTTGCCAGGCAGGCACTGTGCCGCTGAGCTAAATCCCCAGCCCCTAAGACAGGTTCTTGCTGTAGTTCAGGCTGGCCTTGAACTCACTATGCAGCCCAGCCTGGCATCAAACACACAGCAGTCTTTCTCTCTCAGCCTTCTATCTGCTGGGATTACAGACATGTGCCACCACATCTTACTTTTGTTTTGTTTTTAAGATTCTTTAAATTCTTCAGTTTATAATTGGATGAGATAGAAATAGGAAAAATGAGCTTTGGAATTGTATTGTCTATTAAAAGGGAAGAAAAGTTCAGGCTATTTCTGATGTCTGATAGCAGTAAGGAATTGAGATTCAGGGAGAGGAAATAATGCCTCATTAAGTTACATCTTTTAAAGCTCTCACACTACTAATAGGGAAAGTTCTGTCTTAAGAGGGAAAAGTTTAAATGTGCTCTCCAGGCTTCACTTTATTTGTGACTTGGATGGTATATTATTTATCACAAGCTGAGCAGATTAAAACAGCACATTTCTTCTTACCCAGGTTCTAGCGGGCAGGGATCCAAGCACCCCTAGCCGGGTCCCTTGCTTTGGGTGTGGTGTCTCTTATGAAACTGCCATGAAGGTGTCGTCCAGGGCTTGGGGAGGGATCCACTTCCAAGCATTCACAGGTGTTGGCAGGAGTGACTTTCTCCTGGCTGGTAGACGGACACCTGCATTCTTTGCAGGCTGCTAAAAGCTACCCTCAGTTCCTCGCCACATGGCTTCTCTGTTGGGCAGCTCACAGCGTGGCAGTGGATCAACTCAAGAAAGTGGCATTGAATCACTGCTGCCATTTCTGTTGGTCAGAAGCAAGCCACGAGTCCTATTGCTATTGTTTAGAAGCAAACCACAGCCCTACTTGCACCCAACAGGAGCAAATCACACAAGGCGTGAACTGCAGGAGGCAAGGTCACTAGGGGCTGGCTCCCCTAAAAGTATTTATTAACTTGACTCAACCATTACATTTTTGTACAAGAGTCAATCTTCTCATGGATGACAAGTTTTGACAAATTGGTGATAAAGCACTGATCAGGCGTCTGTTGTGAAACCCAGGTTTGGTATCTTCCTTACCGTCAGCCTGAGTTCCTGGGTTCCTCGTATAGAAGCCATGTTGTTGCAGTGATTGCCCCGCTCCAGTAAAGTGAAGTTCATAATATTCTTCTGTATATGTTCAATTTATTCTCACAACTGCCTTTTGGAGCTAGCACTTCTTATCCCCCATATCCAAGTGAGAAAACTGAAGCTTATGAAGGTCTTCATGCCCACTGCTGGCATCAAGTCATTAGAGGAGTTTCCTACCATTCAGCGTCAAAAGAGCCTGCTTGAATGTGACTTCTCTGCATGCCTCAGTTTCATTTTTTGATTCATTCTTACTGTTTCCACTTACATCATCCTCAAGGACTTCTGAATATAGGAGTTAACACTTACTGGGCCCTGCGTCACACTGCACATTTAACACCTATAGTCTCATTTACTGTCCGTAACAGTCAGGAATGGGCAGATTACTAGTCCCACCACATGGAAAGGACATCGAAGCACAAGGCTGACGTGTCTGTTCTGCTGGGTAGGGTCAGTGCTTGCCCTGCCCGCACTGTGAGCTGCTGGTCTCTAAACCAGTAGTTTTCCCCAGAACACATCTTCCTGCATGTCGCCATCCTTCAATGTTTTTCTTTTTTTAGTTGGAGCTGGATATTTCCAAACAAAGTTGGATTTTGTGTGTGTGTCAGTGACCTTAAAGGTAAAGGAATGTGACGTAGATAAAAAGCAGGTGTCAGATGAGTCTACCAGGATCGTAGGTTTGTGCCACAGGAAGGATCTGCTACTCAGAGGTCCTAAGGCGTGTAGCTAGTCTGTGTTCAGCAGCATTAGGTGATTGTTTTTGTGTTTAGCATGCTGCTGTTCCTTTTTCAGTGAGTAAATAACCATAAACAGCGCTTACTTCTCTGCCCTGGAATCTGGACTCTCACACCGCAGTTGGACAGTTGTGTTTTACTCGGTCTTTGGAACTATATTTCTTTATACATTTAAAGCAGATTTTTCAATATCTATAGAGTCCAACAAGTAATGGATATGAGTTAGGTCCTGGGAAGTCTGTCTGATTCATATTATAATTGGCTTATGAAACTTAAAATTTTCTCAGTTATAGGAAATGTTTCTTTGGTTTTCATGGAATTCTTGCAAACATGATGCTTCACTCTAACCAGTTATATAGAACCTTAATTTTTTATCGAAGCTTAAGTCTTCTTCTTCTTCTTCTTCTTTTTTTTTTTTTGTCTTTCTGAGACAGGGTCTTGCTGTGCAGTTCAGGCTGGCCATGCGCTCACTTTGTAGCTCAGGCTGGCCTTGAACTCACATCAATCCTCCTGCCGCAGCCTCCTGAGTGCTGGGATTATAGGCGTGCACCACCAGGCCCAGCTTGTCTTCTTACTTCTTCCTGAGGACAACAGCTGTAGTTTTTGTCACACTTTAACATTTTTCATTCTTCCATAGATTTTTTGTGAGCCATTGTCTGTCAGCAGAAGTATTTTCCCACCTTTGTGGGCCCTTAATTTTTTTTTTATACCAGATATACTCTGATATTCTCTTCTGATTGAGTGCTCCCGTAAACACTTGTTTGAAATGTTTGTAAATTCCCAAGTTAATGATACTTTCTGCTTGTTCTCCCAAACACATTTCACGGAGTCTCCCCCATCCAAATACTACTACGTATCTTTCTGATCTTCTGAGACCTAAAATCGCAGTTCTCAAAATGTGGCCCAAGTATCCCTAAAAGTCCCTGAGATCTTTATTTAAATCTATGGAGTCAACAATACTTCCATAAGAACACTAAAATATAATTTGCATGTTTCATTTTCATCCTCTTAGGAGTGTACTGAACATTCTTCTAGAGGCTGTAGAGGAGGTGTACTTGTGTATTTTGTTTTTAAATCTTAATTTTCATTTCTAATACTACAAGGATAGACGAATAAACCTACATAAGCAAAGCTCTTTAGGGTACTCAACAGTTACTAAGACTGTCAAAGGGTTAGGAGACTGAAATGTTGAAGAATTCTTGCGTTAAGAATGTAGACCAAGGGGCTGGGGATTTAGCTCAGCGGCAAAAGCGCCTGCCTGGCAAGCGCAAGGTCGTGAGTTTGGTTCCCGGTACTGGAGGAAAAAAAAAAAAAAAAGAATGTAGACCGGACAGCGGGGTGTGGTGGTTTAGACCTGTAATCCCAGGAGCCTAAGACAGGAGGACTGCAGCTTCCAGCCCATTCCGGGTAATGTAGCAAGACCCTGCCTCACAAACAGAAAGGGCCTGGGCACACGGTGCACTTTTAGTGATTTCACAGCGCAAATATTTAGTGAATGAGAATGTGCTTCAAAAAACACTGGCTCTAGAAAGAATCTGGCAGACCTTCTCATTTCTGATTGTTCTCTATTAATAGATATTAAATGTCCTGTTTTTATTAACTGATTGCTTGATATTATTATATCTGAACCAGTAACAAAAGAAAAAATTGTTATTTAATCACTAAGCAGAATCGGCCTCATTGCAGATGATAATTTATAAATGACTACAGCATGCTTGTACATGTATATTTTATGTGGTTTTGGTCATTTTATTAGCATTTAAAAATATATATTTGTTTATGTCCAACTGGGAACTATTTCTGACTCAGTTTTGAGAGCCACAAAAAGACTAAAAGTACTGAATAAATTACCTATGAAATGTCAGGAACTCAAGTTATCTAATTTAAAGGGCTTGTTAGCTGTGGAGCATATCTTTCTATATCACACAGGCATCGTTGAAAGGCCCCCAGTAAACCCACCCCTGGGCGCGGTGGGATCGGAAATACAAAGCTTGCATCCCCCTGCCCCACACCAGTTGGGACTCAGCCCTGTTGGATCCCGAGCCTTTGAAACCTCGGCGAAGCGACCCACAGTCGGTCAGAGCTGGCCCTCCAGATAAACACGTAGTTACGCCGCATGGACTCTACCTAGGGGCCAGCAGGAATTATGATTTAATTCTACAGAAAGGTTTTCAGTATTTATAAGTCATTAAGGGTAAAAAAGGTAGAGTAGCAATATTTATGTTATTTATCTCCTAAAATCTATTCAGTACTTTTTTTTTTTTTTTTTTTTTTTTTTTTTTTTTTTTTTTTTTTTTGGTTTTTCTCCGGTACCGGGGACCGAACTCACGACCTTGCGCTTGCCAGGCAGGCGCTTTTCCGCTGAGCTAAATCCCCAGCCCCCCAGTACTTTTTAAGGGGATAAAAATGTCAAGCTTACTGGGGAAGAAACACTGTATGTTTTTAATTTCGGTTTGTTGGGGCTTCCTCACATCTAGCCTGAAGTTTGCCGATGCTGGACAAATCTACAGAGCCAAAGTAATATCAGGAGCTTTTTTGAGGACAAGCAGTTGGAGGAATTCAAATGGGGACCTATCCTGGCCTGCACGTTTTTATTCCTAGGGCCTTACTTTAAAATTATAAAACTCTGTGGTGGTAATTGAAGCCCTACCCTGACAACCTTCTAAACAAAAGATAATCCCAAAGGCCAGGCTTAGTACTTGGCAGCCGAGCACCTTGTGTTTGCCTGTCCATTTTGACCGGTGTGATTAACTCTTATTTTTTTTTTTTCAAGAGAACAAAATCACAATATCCTTTGCTTTTCTTTTTCTTTTTCTTTTTTTTTTTTTTTTTTTGGTACCGGGAATCGAACACCGGAACTTGCACTTGCCAGGCAGACACTTGTGCCGCTGAGCTATATCCCCGGCCCATAATATCCTTTTTGTAGATGAATAAAATAAGTTTTTCAACTGATTTCAAAATGTTATTTTTGCTGCGCATGGTGGTGCATGCCTGCAATCGCAGCACTTGGGGGGCTGAAGCAGGAGGATCTCGAGTTTGAGGCCAGCTTAGGTTACAAAGTGAGCTCAAGGACAACCTAAACTGTATAGTGAAACCGTGTCTCAAAAAAAAGTCATCTTTGGCCATTTAAAGCAAATATCCCAGAAGTCATGCATGTTATGCCTTATCATATCAATATCAAAATTCTTGGCATTGACATGTAAATCAAGTTGTCGTGTTGCCTGTGATTTGTTTGGGTTATGGGCAAGACCAGCTCATGAAGAGAAGACAAGATACATGGTCTAGCATGTTTTAAACCATTCTCCCTTTAATTGGTATACAGGTCACTAGAGAAGATTGGTAAGTTGCAGATTCTGATTCATGAAGTTTGGGGCAGAGATCAGATTTTGCAGTTTAGCGAGCTCCTGTGTAATGCTGATTCTGCAGAACACACTTTGAGCAAAAGGTAGTTTGATTCCTCTTACGTTTAAACTTCTTGGTTTGTTTTATTTTCCCTCTAACAAGGTTACAAAGACCTCAGGCTTGAGACCAATGGAACCAAAAGATATTGAAACAGTCCGAGAATTAATCAACAGTTACCTGAAGCAGTTCCACTTGGCTCCAGTAATGGACGAAGAGGAAGTGGCCCACTGGTTCCTCCCCCGGGAACATATCATCGACACGTTTGTAGTGGAGGTAAAGATAAAGCAGTAGTACAAAAAAGGACAGAAACACTGCGATGAAGATTGTTTTCTAGGAAGATAATAACGTGCCTGTCTTTCCTCTTCCTCCATGATGTAGAAGAGGTACATCTTACAGTTCTGTTCTTGGACACAAATGGGTTTTTCCCTCAACACTGGGGATTGAGCCCAGCACCTCCACACTGAGCCATATCCCTCCCTCTTTGTTTTGTATTTTGAGACGGCATTTTACTAAATCGCTAAACTACCCAGGCTGGGCTGGAACATGCAATCCTAACTCAGCCTCCCAGAGTGTTGGGATTATAGCAGTTGGCCACCACACCTGGCTTAAACCTTTTTTTTTTTTTTTTTTAATAAACAAAACCTGGAATTTGTTAAGCTGATGTCTCATTTGGAGGCCCAGGTGGGAGTTGAGAAGTCGGGGGTTCAATCTGGTAGGTACTTGAATGAGAGAAGTGGAAAGGCCCAGTTGGGAGTGACTCGAGGGGGCTGTTGGCAGCAGTTGCACATGGAAGTCTGTATCAGCAATGGGACAGAGGATCGCAGGCCCAGGTAGGGTCGTAGTGGAGGGAGCCAAGGTCAGGGTGACTCAGGACATTTCTGAAGAGCAGCCAAGCAATCTAAACTTTGTTCCTAACACAGTGCAGCAGTAGCCATCTTTGGTACACTCTTCACGCATGTGCGTGTATGCCAGGGCAGCACTTCTCAAATGTTTTCATCATAGGTCTCCACTTTCCGATGGACTATCTATCAATATTTACCATATTCAAAATTTTAAATTCTGATATTTGTTATTTTGTTACAATGATATAACCGTAGTAAATCCATCATGTTACCTAAAGTACATATTTTATATGAAAAATAGGTATCTCCCAGACCACAAAAGTAGTGAGTCATCTTACATTTTCTGCAAATCTCATTAATGTCTGACTTAGTAGAAGATAATATCTATTTCTACTTGCACCTTGTTGCAGTGGTTAAAGTATGTGAAGAAAATACTTTGCATGAACTGTTGAAGATTTGGAAAAGAATGAGTATTTTAATTACCTTTTCAGATAATTATATATCTCTTATCCAAAATCATATCAGTGAACTTTTTTATACTCTATTAAAATCCATTGGTCTTCTTGGTTTTTTGGTCTTTTTTGAGACAGGGTCTCACTATGCAGTTCAGGCTGGCCTTGAGCTCACTTTGTAGACCAGGGTGGCCTCGAACTTGCAGTGGTCCCCCTGCCTGACCCTCCCGCAGCCTCCCGAGTGCTGGGATTACAGGCGTGTGCCACCACGTCCCGCCATTGGTCTGTCTTGTTTTTTGGTTTTTTTTTTTTTCTTTATAGCCCTGGGCATTGAGCCCAGGGCCCCACACTTGGTAAGCAGGTGCTCAACCACTGAGCTGTCTTGTCCACCTACTTGTGTATGAGCTTATAACATCATGCACCGGTCATCTGGAAAATACTGACTCACTGAATTATATAGGTGGTTTTCAAATACTGACATTTCATTATATGGTATCAAAAAATCACATGCATAGATATCACCACCTTTGTCATAGAGGAGTCTATAAGGTGAAGGATACAGGTTTTCTAAAACTCTAACTCGTACCTGAAAGCTCTTGTTTTATCCATGGCAACAAATCCTGCCAGTTTCCCCCTGGAAGTAACAGGCTCATATCATTCATTTCCAAGAAAATATGGCAAATGTAGTCTAAGGAGTGCTCATTCCCTGGAACAGTGGCTGTCCAGCTCACTACGTGTACGCCATTCAGGGGAGAAGCAGCCTTCTAATCCTTAGTGCTATGCCGGCTGCAAACCCAGGCGTCTGCTTTTATCCCTGGCTGGTAAGCAGGGAGCACTGACTCCTTACCCAGCTCAGAAACGTCCCTTTCAGCACAGTCTGCTTTCTAGGAGCTTTATGCAAGTCACCAACAAGCACTTTGGCTAAAGTTCCAACTCTGTTCTCTTCCCGGCCTCTACCTAGCTTAACAGACTGGGCTCAAGCTAGAGGTTTCACTTGTTCATGTGACAGGAAGTTGTGCTGCAAAGCAGAGCACAGTTAGCTCTTGCGGTGTGTCCAGGGAGACACTGACTGACGCCACCTTCACCCCTCAGAGCTCCAGTGGGAAGCTGACGGATTTCCTGAGCTTCTACACACTGCCCTCCACGGTCATGCACCACCCCGCCCATAAGAGCCTCAAAGCTGCCTACTCCTTCTACAACATCCACACGGAGACGCCACTGCTGGACCTCATGAGTGACGCGCTCATCATAGCCAAGCTGGTAAGCGCCTGTTCCTCTGTGCGCAGGCCGGTGCTCCACGCATGCGCACAAGCGGACGTGACAGACGACCTCACAGTGTTTCCATTCCGTGCGGAGTGACTCGTGCAAGTCACTCTTTGGTACACAGTGGGCAAAGTCATTTGTAGAATTTTGCTGAGTTTCTTGTAAAACTGTAGTGGCTGTTTTCATCATTAATTTTATTGAGACTTAGCAAAAAGACATCTCATACAAATTTAAAACTTGGTGAGGGGGCAGTACTAGGGATTGAACCCAGGACCTTTACCCTGAGCTACATCCCCAGCAATTTTTTTTTTTTTTTGAGACGGTCTCACTAAGTTGCCCAGGCTGGGCTTTAATTTGTAATTCTTCTGCCTCATCCTCTCAGAGTGCTGGGATTACAAGTGTTTCCCACCACACCAGGCTACAAATTAAAAACTTTTTAATGCTTATATAAGATTACATAAAACTGATAATCCAAGGAACATGAGAAAAGACCCTATCATAGTGGAAGGGAAACATGAGTAAATAGTTGTATTGAGCAAATAATCTGCAGTAAGTTCATTAATTCACCTAGTCTCTAACTTTTAAAATTAAAGGAATTAAATCCAAAACGTCCCTTACTGTTATTTTTCTGTTTCCTTGGTCTAGAAGTTAGTATAATTATTGAATTGTTGCCACAAGTAAACATTTTTCCTTTAAACAGAAATTTGAGCTGGGCAGGGTGGTATAATTTGTAATCGTAGCATTCAGGAGGCTGAGGCAGGAGGATTGCCATGAACTTGAGGCCAACCTGGGCCACATAGTGACTTCAAGGCCAGCCCTGCACTACAAAGGGAGTCCCTATCTCAAAAACAAAAACCTCTGAATCAGGTGACATACACTGTGCTAATATACACTGAATGTGGGAAAATGATTGCTCATGAGAAAATGGAAACAATAAACCAAAAGTCTTCCTTGCATTGTTCTCATATTTGATCATTGAAAACACTGCCTTATAAATCTGTTACTTTTGAAATCCCCAAATCAACATTATCCCCAGATTGTTTGTTTTTAACTACAGTACTTCTCCCACATGGGAAGTTATTTAAGTTAAAAACTCTGAGAAACAAAATTTTATGTGCCTCATCTATATCACATTGTACATAATTATTAAACATTTTAATGATTTATTTATTGGTATTTACTGATTGCTTTATTTATTGGCAGGACAGGTGATTGAGTCCAAGGGCACTCTACCACTGAGCTGTATCCCCAAGCGTTTTTATTTGAGATAGGGTCTTACGAAGTTGCCCAGGCAGGCCTCAAACTTGTGATCCTCCTGCTTCAGCCTGCCATGCAGCTGGGATTACAGATATGCACCAAGCCTGGCTACGAAATTTAGATTTTACCATTAAAACAAAATTTACTGCCCAGTAGGAGCCCAAGAAGAATATGCTATTTAAAGTCTTAACAGCCAGGTGTGGTGGCGCACACCTGTAATCCCAGCACTCGAGAGGCTGAGGCAGGAGGATCATTGCAAGTTCGAGGCCAGCCTGGGCTACAAAGTGAGCTCAAGGCCAGCCTGAACTGCATTAGTGAGACCCTGTCTCAAAATAAATACATAAATAATAAATACATACATACATACATAAATGACATCTTTACAACTTTGGTTCCTTGACAGCAGCTTCAGCTAAGTCAGGAACTTATTAGGCTAGATGCCTGGGTTTGCAGCTGGAAGTGGAACTATCTAGACATCCTTCTGAAGCAGGAACAGGCTATTTTCTGAACTCTTAGTAGGTTATTTTTATGTAACTACCAGCCATCAGACTACATTTTTTGATTCAGCATTTCTGAAGTATCTTGCTGGCTTCATCATATTCACTAGTAGACATACAAAACAATTTTGAACTGAATTCCTAACCTGTACTATATACTGTAAACATTAAGCTCCATTATAAATTCACATTCAGCCTGTTGGTAGAGGAATTAAGTGTTACACTGAAATGTATATTACCAAAAAAAATGTATATTACAGAAGACACCCTATTTCTTTGATGTTTTAAGTTTTAAATCTCTTTTATATTGGCAGAAAGGATTTGATGTATTCAATGCTCTAGATCTGATGGAAAATAAGACCTTTTTGGAAAAACTCAAGTTTGGTATAGGAGATGGCAATTTGCAGTATTACCTATACAACTGGAGATGTCCAGGAACAGATTCTGAAAAGGTGAGTGGAGTTGACAAAGCCTTTATAAACACAGTGAATCTGCCCAGAAAGTTCTGCACTCGCTCCCCTTAAGAAGGCTTTATAAAGAGCTTTTGAAACATGCATCTGTTGAATTATATTATGATTTAATCCTCCTTGCCTCAAAGTCTTGCTGTCATTCTGTTTCTTCCCTCCATTTAGGTTGGACTTGTACTCCAGTAGATGGATCTGCTGATTTCTAGGGCTCTCCCAGCCTCATTTGTTAACACTCTATTTAACAACTCCTGGAACTGCCATTCCAAAGAAGAGTAAAAGCACAAGTGAAATTGAAGTAGTTGGTAACAATCAGAAAAAATGAAAAATACCCGTGTGACCAGTAGTACACATTTCTAGCTAGAATGTTAAAATCTAACCTGTTTTTGCTGTTTACCCACTAGTCAGAAGGATGAAAGGGTACAAAGAGCACATTCCTCTAGTTTTCAGACTTTCAGCTCTTCTGGTGAAGAAAGGGTATTTTTCCACTGTCTAGAAATGGGACTGTTTTTCTATGGACTAAACAGAAGTCACAGCATTGTGTAAGAAAATCCTTGCTGCTTTGTGGAGATAAACTGCTGCATTTGTATTTATTAAATGGTGGTGTATTTGTCTGTGTAACAGAACGAAGGATCCACCTGGAGAATTTCAACATACACCACTATGTGTGGTGTCACAGGGAATGTGTATGGAATCACAAGTGGAGGATATCCATGATGGACAGGGCATTTACTCCTCTCTAAGCAAAGTTGCCAAACCAATAAATATACAGATTTGTACTTTGATCTTCGGCAAGTCATGGATCATTTCAAAAGCAAAGTTCTGGGCAAACACTTGAGTGTGCTCTCTCAAAAGGGCGTAAGGCCCATGACCAGCCACTTTCCCACTGCTGCACCATCTCGTCTCTCGTCAGCAACACCCAGGACAGGTGAGGGCAAGGAAGTAAAAAGCCTAAGGTTAAAACTAATGCCTGGGGAATTTATTCGTGCTCTCAGCACCTTGGTAGTTTGAATGTTTTATTACTTATGCAAAATTGCACATATTCCTTTATGCTGGCTTTTAATTTATCATGAAAATTGTCATGCTAATGGAAAATGTCTTATTTGTAAATATTCATAATTTTATTACTGATGGTGTTTTTACCTACAATTTGAAAGTTTCACAATGTACATAGGTGTGTATATACTCCCATAATCCAAGGGAAAAATAAGATGTTAAACAAGGTCATAAGACTGGCCTTAAATACCACAAAGTAATACTTCCTATTGTACCAGTGCCTCACTGTTTAGTCCAGAGCAGTTACTTGTGTCGCACAAGCTGATGGCACTCCCCTCCTGTGGTAAGCAGCCCACTGAACCAGGTGTATCAGGGAGGGGCTGCCAAAGCATTGCCATAGGCTAATTCTGGCCCACTGCCTGTTTTTATACACCCCAAGAGCTGAGGATAGTTACTACTTCTTTTGAGTGATTGGAGGAAAATCATCAAGACTAATTTTTTGACACATGAAAATTATTCAAAATCCAAACGTCAGCATCCATGAGTAAGTTTTACCCATACACAGCCACACTTCTGCATACGTACTGCCTATGGCTACACGCTACATAGGCACGGTGGGTCTGATGACAGGCTGCCTGTGTCTCCAAAAATGAAGTTTGCGGTAAGCCGTAGAAAGCCACAGCTGTGGTGCCTAGGCCTACCAGTAGAGGGGCACTTGAGTCCTAGTCAAGACTAGCAGTTTCGACGTGGCGCGAAGCTTTCAGATGAGTCAGACCAAGGTGCGCTGCCATTTGATCAAGAAGCAGAACACAGCTTCACTGGGACTCTGAGACACTAGCATTAAGTAAACATTTTTACTTAATCCTGAGTCACAGCTCTAGTTAGGACTGACAGCCCCACTCATTTTTATGGGACAGTCTTGTATACAGGTTTTCAGATAATTGCAGAATCGCCAGTCAGAAATTTTGTCAGCTTACCACACGAGAAAACTGTTAAATACACTGGTCCTCTAAAGACTCATTTACATATTCATTACAGAATTCATGTCATTTAACTGGATCATTTAAGAATTCTGTAATTAGTAACTAGTTGGCCTATTCCTACTTTATGCAGATTGCCAGTTAACCTTTTAAAGTAGAAAATCCACTAAACTATTAATAAAGTAGCTGTTAGATTTTTAAAAATCTATCTTGTTCTATACTGTCTATAATGAAAATACCTTATTTTTTTGGAGACAGGGTCTTGCTAGGTAGCTCAGGCTGGCCTTGAACTCACAGCAGTCCTCCTGCATCAGGCTCCTGAGTGCTAAGATTATAGGTGTGCATCACCACACCTGACAAAATGCTCTAGTCTGTAAGGTATTCTCCCTTTTTAAAATTTGTGCCAAGATGGTACTAAGTAAAATTCAGATGAACAGGGTAGCATAATCCATGAATGAACCGTAATTTTTGAACATTTTAGTAAATGATTACCTTCTCTCTAAATTAGAGAAGGGACTCTTCCAGAAACACACTGTACTGTACACATCATACAGAACACCTGCTGTCCTGGTTCCTAAACTTAAGGACCTATTACCACCTAAATCCACGTCAAAGAATCCATGATCAGTTTTATTCTATCTGCCACACTTCATCTACCACCATCATATTGTTTGTGGTTTATTTGGTGCTAGGAATCAAATCCAGAAGCCCATGATAAGAACGTGCTCTACCACTGAGCTGCACCCCTGGCCCCCATTGTGCTTTTTGTACATGTTAAATTACCAAGAAAGTAACTTTGTAGAGTGAGTTCTAATTCAAATACCTTATCTAGCCTTTTTCTGTCCATATCAAGCCTTTGTCACAAGCCTACAACTATGCCTACCTGCAATGAAAGCCAAGTCAACATAAAGAAGTGACTGCTTCTGAGGACAATGTATTACTTGCATTTATTTTTCCTTTACAACTGATACTACTTCTCCAGTTGTTTCACTGACCCTGCTAACTAGAACCATGTAGCCCATTTTCCAAGTTTGGTAGAAGACTGTTAAGTGTTGTAGGATACAGATGTTCTTGCTAACTAGCAGTGTACCAGCCTTTAAAACAGTGAATTTACAGAAGCATGAATATTAGTTTCAATAAACTTTTCTTTTGATACTCATTTTTTAAATTTTTTCTGAACTTAGTGCATTTAAGCTGCAGCATATTTGTGCCATGCAGTTATGAAGACTTGTATTGCACATGTGAAAGGAACACTGCCACAGGGTCCCAACAATATATGTAAATGTAGCTTACTTTAAGGCTTCTTTACATTGTGTCCTTTTTTTTTAGGTTTTTTTTCCCCTCTGGTACTGGGAATTGAACTCACAACCTCACGCTTGTGCTGCTGAGCTAAATCCCCAGCCCCCATCGTGTCTTTTTATAAATTGCATTAAAATGACAGCTTTCTCCAAGATTACTTTGAAATAGTTTTTTTATTTTTAGGTGGTTTCCTTATCTTATTAGGGTTGGGAATCAGTTTCTTTATTTTAAGTGGTTGTAACGCTATAGCAGAACCCAGCCTCCCTTCCACAATTTTTCTCTTATGTTTTGAGAGGTCTTCAAATGAAGTTTCCAAGATCTCTTTGTCTTGGTCTTCCAAAGATTCAGTCTCTGCATTTTCTCCAGAACTTTCAATTCTGTCTTGAAGCCATGGTACATTTAAGCTGGGCACTCGGGGAATGATGGCTCTTACTTCATCTGCAAAGTCGGAGGTGCCCTTTCTGAACCCCAAGGCTAGCACACATTTTAAGCCAATGACGGGGGCAATTCTCTCGCTGAGGCGGGGGACCTGACAGGCAGGAACAGATCTGCTTAGACTTAACTGGATCAAGTGTGAGGTGATGACAGCGGGCTTGACTGACTTGCACACAAGCACCAAGAGCAGCTCGTTTCTCTCCAGGGCCCGGGTGACCTCGTTCACGCCAAGGGCAAGCTGCTTCCTGACATGCACAGGTGTCCACCCCGATGCCCGCTGGTCAGCGTCGGGCTTTTTCTCCTTGGGGTCCTCAGTCACACCAGCATCTAGGCCGCATTTTTCTCTGCCTTGATTGTTTACAAGAGGTGGCCTTTTCCTTTTCTTTTTATCCTCTATTTTCTGAAGTCCAATAGATTTGAACCTGTCCTCAAGTGTCTGTAATATGAACTGCATGTCCTCTCTGTCCAGGGTGCTCCAGCAGAGAACATATGGGTTGTTCAATGATGTCTTCACAGTCAGAGGCCTGGTCTTACGAACAGAACCCCTTCCTGGTGCTTGAGGGGCAGCAGCCATTTTGAAAACCCTTCAGAGAATCAAAATGACAATGGAAAATTCTTGTTAGCCAGAAAGGCAGTGTAGTCTCTCAGATTCGTGACAAGCTACAGCAAACCTAATTACAGAGACTCTGTCACGTGACCAGACGTTTGACCTCTTTTAAGATTTAAGTAATTTGGGGCGTGCATAGCAGGGCAAGGCCCTGTGTTTGATCTCCAGCTCTGCAAAAAGGAAAACAAAATGATTAATTTTAATTTTCCCCATTTTTTCATGTAAATTTATTTCTTCATATTCGGGCAATATGGAAAGTTTTACATTACTGCAATCAATCATAGTGAAATTTTATGTGCTTATTTGTTCATTTATTTAACTTCCATTTCAGGGCAAGCAGAGAGCTTGCCTGGCGTGCGTATGGGCCTGGGTTTGGTCCCTAGCACTGCAGGAAAAAAAAGTTCTGTTTTACTTTAGTGACTGTATGGTTTAATCTTACCGATTTCTTAGCATTTCTAACATTGCCCTCTATAGCTGTGCTCCCATTCATCCATTCGGCAAATGCTTTCTGACCACTCCAGCAGACGGTGCTCTGGTTCCTGGGGCCTGTGCTGAGCAAGACTGGGCAGCCACTGCGACCGCCATCTTTAAGGGCCCGGGACCTCTGCAGTTATTAACAGGTGTGACTTAAAAAGGGGCCGGGGATGTAACTCGGCAGCACGGCGCCTGCCTGGCAAGTGCAAGGTCGTGAGCTCGACTGCTGGTACCAAAACAAACAAAAACCGGCAACCTGGACACGATGCAGATTTCAAATAACACTGTCTCCTTTCGAAGTTTCCCTCCCTACTTGGCCCCGAAGTTTCTTGCACACCCTCCCTAAACGTCTGACGCACACGCAGGCGTACGCGGCCCTCCTCCCAGCTCTTCCCTCTCCCTCAACAGCCTGCCCCCCTGGGCCCCACGACCTTTCTTCCGCACAATGGGTTACCCAGGACGCGCTGTCCATAACACAGGAAAAACGCTAACACTGTCCCTGGCGTCAGCTTGGAGTTTAGGAAAGATTGTCGGTCTAATAAGCAGCACAGCAAGGCGGCGCGCACCAGCGTCAAGCTGGGGCAGGACGCTCAGGAAACCCGCAGAGCGCGAGGCCGGGCTGACTCCCGAGGACGCTCGCCGAAG